GGGCGGCAGCGTCATCGCGGTGTGACGTCATGCATGACGTCACCGCCGAAAGCCATGATTTGGGATTCTTGAAGGGAGCTCGTCCGGTGCCAACCCCCTGCCATGGGCAGGGACACCTGCCGCCAGGCCAGGTTGCTTCAAGCCCCATCCAACCTGGCCTTGGACACTCCCAGGGATCCAGGGGCAGCCGCAGCTTCTCTGGGAAATCAATTCCCGTGGCTCACCACCCTCACAGTAAAGAATTTCTCCCTAATATCCCATCTAAATTTCCCCTTTTCCACTTTGGAGCCATTCCCCCTTGTGCTGTCCCTCCAGGCCCTTGTCCCAAGTCCCTCTCCAGCTCTCCTGGAGCCCCTTTAGGCACTACAAGGAGCTCTGAGGTCTCCCTGGAGCCTTCCCTTCTCCAGGCTGGACTCCCCCAGCTCTCTCCCAGCCTGTCCCCAGCCCTCGGGGCATCTCCATGGCCTCCTCTGGCCCTGTTCCAGCAGCTCCATGTCCTTCCCATGCCAAGGACTCCAGAGCTGGGCACAGTGCTCCAGGTGGGATGTCACCTGAGCAGGGCAGGGCAGGATAATCCTTCCTTACCTGCTGCCCTCGCTGCCGGTGGCATAGCCCGGGACACCACTGGCTTTCTGGGCTGCTGGGTCATATCCAGCCTTGCATCCCCCAGCACCCCCAAATCCCTCTCCTCTGGGCTGCTTTCCATCCCATCACCCCCATCCCGCACTGATCCCGGCAGTTGTCCCGATCCCTGTGCCAACTCTGCCCTTGGCCTCCTTGACCCCCACGAGGTTCCCATGGGCCCACCTTTGTCCAGCCCCCCTGGATGCCATCCCATCCTTCCAAAGTGTCACACACTCTCCTGGTGCAGCTCCATGTCCCCCCAGTGTCCCCTGCTGCATCCCTGTGTCTCCTCCTCAGTGCCCCCAGAGCATCCCCCAGTGTTCTCAGAATCCCCCTTGTCCCCACCAGTCCCCCTGGTACATCCCCTGTTTTTCCCATCTCCTGTTTTCCAGAGCAGCCCCAACGTATCCCCTGGTGCCTCCCGTGTGTCCCTCCCGGTGCTCCAGAGCATCCCTCGGTGTCCCCATCGGTCCCACTTCCCCCGTGTCCCTCACGGAGCTCCCCTACAATTCCCCACGGTGCCCCGGAGCATCCCTCGGTTCATCCCCCGCTGCATGCCCGGTGTATCCCGGGTTCTCCCCCCTCTGTGCACTCCGGTGTCCCTCTCCCGGTGCTCCGGAGCGTTCCCCGGTGTTCTCACCGGTTCCTCCGGTGCTTTCTCCCATGTCCCCACCCC